CTGGGCCCTCTCAGCTTGAGAGTGCCCTGGGGCCGAGGTTGTGTGGAAATGCTCAAATGACTAAACAATTAAAAATATTTATTTTATTATTAAATTATACAACAATTCAAGCATTTTATTTTGTTCTTTGCTTAATTTTCTTAATATCACTCTGACTGAGCACTTGGACTCCTTTCTTGTATCTTCCTATTGAGGCATCAAGCCCTTTACTAGACYTGTCTGACCACCAGCCAGTGGAACTAGAAAGTAAAGAGAAAAAGATAAGATAGATAAGGGAGGTGAGCTACTTGAGCCATCAGGGCACTGTCACCTTTCTATTGAACACGTTTTTCATTGAGCACGCTATACGTTCAAATTTTATTAGTACCTTGAAACAATCGCTGGGGTGATCTAAAACAGAGCATAGCTAACTCTCAGATTGAACCCTGAAACAAATTCTGGGCTGATTTAAGTGTGGGCATGACTAACTCACAACCTCTTGGCTGAATTGAGAAAAACCAAAACAATCAAGAAAAGCTGAGAAGCACTACAGGTTGCACTTCTCCTAACACTTCTCCTGTGTCCTGCCAATCCCCCTATGTTCTATGACTAATACGGACYCCTAATACACATACATGTTTTCTATTTCTTTGATAGAGGCATGTCAGGGACTGTTTTCGATTGTAACTCACCTTGTTGGGTTWTCTTTCTTTTTGGTTTTGTTTTTACTTTTCTTGGTTGACATCCCCATAGCTTTTTCCTGGGTATACATGAAAATGCATTTAAAGATGAATTGATCCACATTAACTCCTACTATCATTTACCACTAAGTCTTATAATCTTTCAGATACTTTTTGAAACAAAATCTACAAGATTATTCTTGCTTAAGGTGGTTCAGAATGGGGGTCACTTTGCTCGTTTTTGAGTTAGGGGGTAGACTGAGGAGGTGTTTTGTGTATTCTATTACAAAAAAATTGTACAAACGTTTACCCCAACCCCTCCCCCCCCCAAAACATTTTCCAGAAGTTTTTACAACATTGAACAAAAAACAAGTTGCAAGCTGGAAGAAGAAAATGCTTCGTGTAACATGGCCTTTTAAAGACAGTGATATACTAACCAGTTTTAGACGTTTCATTTCTTTTTGTTTCTGTTTTTTCTGGTGGGCTATTAGGATATTGTATGGCATYTTAGCTCCTTTAGGTGCCTAAAAATACCAAAACCCAGTCAGTTATCATTCAATCCAGGAAATACAAGGGCTTACAAGGGCTTCCTACATATTGATCGGCACTAAAAACAAAACACAATAATGGGGACTCTAATGTGAGTAGTTATGACTCCCTGGGTCCCCGGACCAGTTGAACTCTAGTGCACTGTAACCCACCATATTACTTCCTGATAATGTTACAGAGTGTGTGTTTATCAAATCAACATATCAAAGGAGAAAGGTGACTATTATTGGATAATCCACTGACCTTTGCACCCAAAGCCTGAGCTTTTTGCTGTTCATATTTTCTTCTTTCTTTTTTACTGAATCCAGTCATACCTTGGGGATATAGAAATATAGATATTAAAGTTATAGTGCTTGGGAACGAGGTTATTCCGGGCGAAAGTCCTTGGAATTAAATTCGGAAAAATTAATTTCCGACCTCGCTGGGAATCGAACCCACGACCTTCGGAATTGTACTACCGATGCTCTACCAGCTGAGCTAGAGGTCAGACTGAGAGCAGGCCGGGGTGAATTTATAGATGTTAGGTCGGGGTAATTATGATGCAAGGATGAGAATATGTGGGGATAGTCATCAAAGGAAAATTGTTAAACGAGTGTAAGTATATCATATTTTAACATAAAATGTCAATAAAATACAAAAATGTCAATAAGATACAAACAAAAAAAACAAAATTAACAAAGGAAAAAAATTAATTTGTTGGCGTCTGATGACTACTGATATGTATGTACATAAGATGGACTGTTGATGTTAGTAAGACTATAACAAAGAGGAACAGCTTAACTGAAAACCATTGTACACCCTATTCATAACARTATTAGAGGTTTTGCACCATCACATGCTGGTGTCCATAATACAGTTTAGGCTGCCTGCGGTTAGATGGCAGAACAATAAAATMCCTTATAGTTTGCTCTTGGGAATTGCACTCTTTCTCAATTCAAAGATTGTATTGTTCCTGCCATCTAACATAGCTCCCATCACGTGATGGTGCAAAACCTCTATAGTAAGCTTAAGCATACTACATATAACAGTACTACAGTGAAACAGTGATGCAAGTATGTTTCCAAAAACATTTTTGAGCATGCCATTATCACATTCAGATGATGACAACACACAAACACAAAACTGTTTTGAAAACTTGCCTACATCATTGTTTCAGAGTTGCCATCCTTGATGCTTGAGGTCTCTAGCTATAATATGGGATTTGATTGGCTAAGGCCCTGTCCACACTATGCCAGATAAATTTSAATCTGAATTTTTATTTATTCGGTTCCATTTCGAAAATTCGTTTTCGGTGAAGAATTGTTCCGGATTCGCCTGGAGTAGTGTGGATGGTAGACCTAACCGAATAAATAAAAATTTGGAATCGAATTTATCGGCGGCATAGTGTGGACAGGGCCTAAGTCCATTTTATAACTCCATGTGGACTTCACAGTGATAATTATAATCAACAAACTTACCAAATTCCTTAACATCTCTTGCTATTTCTAGAAAATCTAAGTCCTCTGAGTCTTCTGTATTTTTATCTTTCAATTTCTGTTTAGATAATTAAAAGTAAAATATTACAAATTTTACAATTATTAGAAATTGCAGGCTTGTAGTTATATACAGTGTTTCATACAGAGAAAACAGGAAGTACRGGTGGCCTGTGCTGCTAATGCACCACCCACTGCTATGGTTATAGGTTCAATTCTTTYGATCGTGAGTAGAGTCACTTCTTGTAGTGAGTGCTTGAGTTTGCTTGCTGTGCTGTGCACAGTTATAAAGCAYTTGGGGATTGGCATAACACTCGAGAAGTGTYGAGAAGCACTCYGCTATGCGTCGTGCCTCTCCTAACACTTCACTGTGCATGCATTTTCCATTTTTTCAGTAAATATATGAACACATTGAGTCAAACCCTAACTTGGAGCCACTGTTTCATGGTCACTCAAGCAAATTTGCAACTGGTTCTCTCTGTATYCTCCAGTTTTCCTCCATCCCCAGAAATCAACTTCTAATTTCTAATTTGTTCATGGGATGATTGATGACCACAGGTGTGTCAGTCACTGGATATTATTATTAACTGCTACCCTTGTAAAATAAGAGTGATTTAATATTATCTATTTAAACATCTTACAAAGAACATAATTTACAGGACAAATCTTACMCTAGAACTCTGACTTGTGTTTTTTTCTTTTGATTTTCCTGGCTCCTCGAAAACAATTACTCTTGGTGGAGGTYTAGGTGGTCTTTGTGTATCTAAAGGTAAACATTGTAGTTTATTCTCATTAATTATCTCTTTAAAAAGTATCAATTATTTTAATGTCACTGCATAGTCAGGAAGCATGGGCATTGCCTCACACCCTTGCAGTTTTGGGTTCAATCCCTGGACTTACCATCATGTGTGAGTATGGAGTTGTTTGTTGGTTCTCTCCTGTGCTTCAAGATTTTTTCTCCAGGTTCTCTAGTCCCCCTACCCTCCCCCTCCAATAAAATCAACTTCTAAATTTTAATTCAATCTGGCATCAGGAATTTTTGCTAGTGACTCTCTGACTACTCACCTTAGCCATGATCTTATTGGCACATATAAACACACAGTGCATCAGAATTAAGCTTATTGCAGAGCCAGAAAAGACTTGCGCGTTAATTCGCGATACGAGATTTGCCGGAACTAGTTAATAGAAACGATATCAAGCTTTTAACGTGTGATAATATCTATTTATTTCATACCTGTATTGTTTATTGTTAATGAAACCGCGTCGCTCAACTTGT